AGATTTCCTATAATCAAACATTTTGGTCTCATCTCATTTTGATGTTCCATTCTAAAGTTATAAGCTTTGGCAAAAAAGGTATTTTTGTTGACTTTCAAAAATGACCTATAATGTCCAAATTTGCAACTTTTTGTGAGAGAATTTCTTAATCTTTGGGTGTGAAGATGGATTGTAGGAAATTGCATCCTATTCAAAATGAGCTTTGGATGGGTCATTTATCATAAAGTATGAGAAAGTTATGCTTGGTCAAAGTTGAGTTGACTTTTCCTACAAAACCCTAATTTAGCAACTTTTGAATCTTGATGAATCTTGAGTAATCCTTGATGAATCATGATCAACCCTTAATAAAATGATGAATTATCCTTCAAAATTAGAATGTTGACAAAAAATCTTGAGGTTTGACTGTATTTGGGACACAATTGACTTTTGCCCTAGCACAGTCGATTTTTGGGTCTCTTGAGCAATTGACTGACCAAACTTCCTCTGCAAGGCTTGAAATTTGACATGGATGAACTTAAGAACATATTAAGACATTGGGAAGAACTTGAGGAGATTTGGAGATGAGGACCTTAATGCAACACAAAACCCTAATTTTGACTTGACTGCCTTAGGAGGTGATTTGACTGTCCAACCCTTGAGCCAACTTGAGCAACTTGGAGATTCTTCTTGAAATGTCTTGAGAAATATGGGAGGGAAAATTTTGGGGTACAACAGATACTACCCATCCCCGAGTTAAAATTGAGGTTTTTATCTGACAAGAAAATAAACTCCTACTTCAAGGCTCAAAGGGGTTGACGAGGGTCTATCTCCCTTATAACTCCGGTTTTTGGGGATTTGAAACAATTTTTGTACATCGTCAACAGGGTTTTACTCAAAAGCATATCATCTGAAATTCTTGGAATAATTCTCATCATCCTCCCTCCAGAGTTATTTTCTTTATTAACAAGAGTTAAGTATCAAAAACACAGGAAAAATAACTATGAGTGAAAACGAATAGATTAATTTAAGACAAACATATCCAATGCATTATGATTAATATTAAAAAGCAAACAAGTTATGCATACACGAAGGTACTGAACAAAACAAGAAAGATTACAAATGAGAATGCAACTGAACTAAAGATTTCCACTGTTGAAGAGACTTGACTTCGTCTGGACTTATTACTTCAGAAGATGCTTTTGCAATCTTGGCACTTACTCGGGCAAGGAGACTTTAATATATGCGCAAGACCTCTGGAGTAAACGTGATCATCTTAGAATTAATTTTGTCCTAAACTTTACCTTTGAATGCATTACACCCTTCAATAGTATGGCCAGGTTCCCCAAAATGGTACTCACAGTAGGCGTCGAGGTCATATCCATCAGGATAAGGAAAAGGAGGAGGCTTAAGCTATTTTAACTCCATTAAAGAATTTTGGAGTAAGTGAGAGAGCAACTGACTATGAGGCATAGGGATTGGATCATGTACTCTTCTTGGCCTTATCAGATTCTGCCTACCTCGTTGCTGACTATTCTGTAGATAGTTTTGCTTTTGAGGAGCATACTATTGTTAAAGAGCGTACTGATTAGGAGTGGTTGCACTCACTTACTCGTAAGGGGTCTGAATTGGAGGATAAGAAAGAGCTTCCTCTTCGTCCTCATAAACTTCACTTGCTTATTCTTCATCCTGCTATGGGAAATCAAAAGTAGTAGCAACATCCTCGTAAATCTTACCAAATTTGATAATGTGCTCAATTCGTTCTCCTGCGACAACCAAGTCTGAAAATTTAGAAGTACATCCAACCATCTGATAAGGACCTTGTAGAGTATCTAAGAACATATCAACAAGTTTTCATTCCAAAAGAGGAGGTTGAACTCTGGCAGCTAGTTCTCTCCATCTATGTTCATACACTTTAAAAGTTTCATCAGCCCTATGAGTCAAACCATGAAGTTGAATTCTGGTATGAGCCATGTTACTGTTATAATTGTATTGCTTGAAGAAGGATTTAGCTAATTCTTTCCAAGTTCATATATGGGTTCTTTCAAGTTGAGTATAGTATACCAATCAAGAGATGCTCCACTGAGGCTATCCTGAAAGAAATGCATGAGAAGCTTGTCATTTCCTGCATAAGGAGCCATCTTATTGCAGTATGCCTTGATGTGAGTCATCAGACAAGTTGTACCCTTGTACTTCTCGAAGCTGAGGACTTTGAGTTTAGCAGGAATCTTGATACCAGGCACTAGGCATAAACTAGCAGCATCTAAACCAAGGGAATCACGACCCTCAAAAGCTTTCATCCTCTCCTCCAGGAGGTGAAGATTTTTCTGAGACTTAGTATCATCAATTGGGAACCTAAATGTGTTACATGGCGACTCAGAAATATCTTTATGGTGTGAAGCTCCATTGACAGGAATTTGAACGGTGTTTTTGACAATCTGATTCAAAGGAACTTCTCCTTGGTAAATATTAAGACTCGGTAGATTAACATGATCAACAACAGTAACTGCGGCCCTCTGAATAGTCTATCTCAACTCTTCTTGCTCGAGGGCGAGATTCTGAAAAGCCTCCATGAATTGATCCATTTGGGTCTCCATACGTGTGTTCATTGCGGCCATATATGTTTGAAGTTGGTCCATGATGATGACGAATGTCGGGAAATCAATCTTGCGATCTTGAGATTTTGAATAAGAATTCAGGTTGCAATGAGTCTCCAGGTTGAAACAAATAAAATGCAAGATGATGCATGAATGATAACAAAAATAAACTCTTATGAGAAATGATGCAAATGAAATGCAACACCACATGTTCAAAAGTCCAACATAACATGGATAACAATTGTACAATCCTCCGAATAACTACTGTATATATCTGCTGAATAATTTGAATATATCAGGATCAAAGGTCTGGAACAGACACCAAATGCCAAATAAGTCACCAACAGTACATGTAAGATCATTCCCTCCCCTCTCACGGGTGAAATTTAGGTCAGGGTAAGGTCATAGGGTAACTCAAAGTCATTAGTCCGCCTACTAAGTATTATCATCGTAACATCTACATGTAAACGATAGTATCACACTTGATCCTCGGCTGAGCGTGGCTCACATGAATGCGCTATTTTAGACCTTACATTTTATAGCCATCATGAGTTCACTCTAGTCCTAGTGTTCCTAGGTGACATCTCATAGCCTGGGTACTGGGTTTTTTACCTCATAGTATCATCCCATCCCAATAAATAAACAGCACAATAATATATCCTGAGTATAAAAAACTAAAAAATACAATGCAATGCATGAAAGCATATAAACAAATGAAGCAATAAAGAAATAAACAAACAAACACCCAAAGAAAATAAAACAAACAAAAGCTAGGACTGACTTGCATGATCCCCAGCAGAGTCGCCAGTTGTCGCGTCTAGGATTTTCATCGAAGCGCGAAGGAGGCAGAAAGAAGAGTCGTCATCAATGTTATTTATCCCAAGAGAGAGAAATGAAATACTAATTAAACCTAAAGGAAGGAAAATAACATGGTCATTGCAACCAAGAGAAAAGGGTAAGGAAGTCGATTACACAAGGGGAATGTATTAGTATCCCTCACGTCTGTGGTACTCCATAGGATCCACTTAAGTTTGTTCTAATCTAAGGGTGTATGAAAATCTAAGTCTAAAGCTTAATTCTAAAAGGGAATGTATGCAAATTATATACAAAAATAAAGTTTTTATTATTTGTTCTCGACACAGTTGCGAACCTTTGTGCCTACATACCACCTTTCATGCAATAAGGGATCAGGTCACTCGCAGTTCACCTAAAAAGGTGTTTTGGTTTGTTTTGTGTTTTTAGGTGAATAATGTTACATTCACACTCTAGCAGTTGATATATTGCAACCCGACCTTTGGGGAATTACGCGTCGTTTATGCATAAAGGAAATATCACATCCTTTTTTTGTGAAAAGGTTTTCAAAAGAAAAGCCTGAAGGTGGCCCGAGGGCAAAATGTTTGAATTGGTTGGTGTTTTTGTAGGTAAAATGATAAATAGATCACACTTCTAGGACACTTATCATCTCTCTACTTTGTGAAAACAGAGTTTGAGATTTGAATCACACCTGAGACTTATGAATTAAAGAAGGACCAGTCAGGGTATGTACCCTCTCATCCTTCCCATTACTAAAGACTCTTGGAGGCGTGACTCTCATCAATTATTTATTACGTGTTTTGAAGCTTTGAAAGAAGAAGTTTTAGTTTTAGATATGCAAAAAAAAAAGGAATGAAAAAGTCTAAGGGAGACTAGTGTTCTTAATATTGTCATGTAATGGTGGTCTTAAAGTTAGGATGCGAGGGGAAAATCTACCTAAGAGTTGTCATGCTTGGCTTAAAGGCCTAAGATCTAATTAATTTAATTTAATCAAAATATAATTACAAATCCTAAGGGAAGATGGTAATCACACAAGCAAGCATTCAATAATTAAATGTTTAATCAATTAATTATTAAACTTAACTAATTAGGTTAAGAAAAAATAATTAGCAAATCTGATTAATTTTTAATAACAAAATTAACTAACTAAATCAACATTTAATTAATTAATTAATTAAAAACAACAAAGTGCACAAAGACTAGATCAAATAGTCGAAAAGAAGAAACTAAACAATTAAATGACTAATCACACAAAATTAATTAAGTTAATTGAAAATTTTTAATAAAACTAATTTTATAAAAATTAGTTAGATTAAATAAAAGTAATTAACTAAATTAATTATCAAATAAAAACAATATAAAAAAGAAATATAAAATAACACAATTGGGCCAGCATGTGAAATAAAGGGGTATATTGCACAATTCACATATGGGCTGTAGGTACGGGACAAATCGAGTTTAGTTTAGTTTGGAGGCCCAATTGAAAGTTAAAAAAAAACAAACCCTAATGTCTCTAATGTGCAGCCGTGGTTGAGATTTGGGGAAGAGGACATTAAATCAATTAATTAATTTAATGTTCAATAAAAATAACCCAAGCGCTACTCACAGATACTCTCTCTGCCTTCACACGACTCTCTAATCCACATTTATCTCTCAAATATTTTCTTTGCCTTCTCAAATCTCGCTCTCTCTCTCTCTAATCTTGTTCGTCCACACTCATCATCAATATCTCTCAACTCAGTTTTTCACAACAATAACATATCCTGTTTGTCTGATTTCCTCATGATTTGTTCCCTCAAACTCTCGATTTCTCTTTCATCAAAATCTTGTTGTTTCATCGATAACTTCCCTCTGATTCTTCTCAACCGATTGAATCTATCTCTTTTACACCAATCTCAATCGATTGAGCATTCTTCTTTGGTTTTTGGTTCATGTTTCCAACCGTAAATTTATTGCTTATGGAAACAACAACAACGAATATTTTATCACAGTTGCAAAATTCAACAACAACAACTCTAAAAAACAAAGAGAAACACAAAGCAAGATTCAGATAATGGGAAAACGAATTTACCGAGTTGGAGCTCCTTCAAAGGGCTTTCAAATTCTCAGGTACACGTTCGACCCACTCTCTACTTTCTGAAAATCGATTTTGCTCGGTTGTTGTATGTTGTGGATGAATGCATTTGATCGATGTGCCTGATTTTCTGCTTTATTGTTGTAGGCGATTCTTTGATCAGTTTTGTGTAGCTCTGTGTGTTGAAGATTGCATAAAGTATTGATTCTGTTTGAGAATGCAGGTCAAACATATACAAGTTTGGAGTTGATACTTGGGGAAAGATTAATTTGGTAGCATAACTCTATTCTTTATCTACTTTCTTTCCCCCTTTTTTGTGATCGAATGAAGTTTATTTATAGTGAAGTGGAATAAAAATTTGAGTGGGAATTTTGGATTTTGAGTGATAAAGTGTGGGACTTTTGAATTTGATTTTTGAATTTTGGATGAAAATTTTGTGAGTTTAGAGTGATTCTTGATGCAATCTGTGTGAGTTTCTTTGGTGTATTTGTGACCTTTGATAATTTTAATTGAAAGGCTGAGATTAATTTGAGATGGAATTTTCGATTGAAGTTTGAATGAAAGTTGAAATTTTGGAATTGGAACTTTATGTTTCTTTGTTGTACAAACATGTGAATTGATTCAAATGTGGCCCCAACTTGCATTTTTTCACTTTCCAGATTTTTGGACATAAAAGAAAACAATAATAACAAAAAAAAACAATGATAAAGGAAGAATTGTTACTAAAAAAAATTAAAAGGAGAAAAAATAATAAAAGACTTTAAAATGACTTAAATTTTGATTTATTTTTTTAATAGTAATTCACTAAATCATTTAAAATTGAATTAAAATTAAAAAGTCGAACCAATATTATTATCAAGATAAAAAGATCATTTTAATAACCGAATTAAATTTCAAATTGAATCCTTGTTAGAAATTCAATTAAAATCGAACTTGATCATATCCTGAAACTTTAATCTATTTGAAGACAAAATATCAAAATTAATCGGACGCTTGAATCAAAATGACTAAATACTCCAATAATCTTGAAATAGAAATCATTGATTATAAGCAAGATCAATTTTAATCAGAGAAACTTTGACTTTTGTAACCTTGACCTTTTTTCACGCATTCAGGCGTCCTGAAGAACATCTCTTGTAAATTGCCAATGAACTCGAGCCATAATCTTGAATTGAAGCACAACAGACGAGAAATTTAACACTGATGAAATTTGATGGAGAATAGCCCTTTAAGAAGATGAGACCCTCAAAGTCTATAGAAACCCTAATTTCAAACTTCACTGCTTGAAGAAGAACCAGAAGAAATCAAAATTTATTGTATGTACCTCAAAACACTGTGAAACCTTAATATTGCACAACCACTGAATTTTGAACCAAAGTGCTTTATTGAATGCAATATTATGTTAATGACCTAATTAAAGGATGAAAATGAATGTGAAGCCTAAGCCATATAAAATCAAGATATAAGAGCAAATTTTGGGGTGCAACAACTGCCCCTATTTAATCGTCTTAAATCTGAAAGTGAAATTGACACTAGCCTTTCAAATATTAAAGGTGGAAGAAGATTAAATACTAAAAGAACCTGAAATTTTGTGCTCTGGAGAACAAGTGGATGATATAATTATGATTTTTTATGCCTCCACTAACTAGTTTCGGCATGTAATGGACTAATATTCCTGAAGGGTTTCCATAGAGAAATTGAAATTGTGTTGCATATCTGTGAACAAACAAATGGAAAATGGAAATGATGCTTAACCAAGCGTACTTGCAAAAGGTGAATACAAACTCCCCTGGGGAATAAGACTTCTCGTGCACAAAGCAGAGAATAGTCATAGTGGGGAGTCACGCGTGAAAAACTCATAGTAAGGTTACTGGGTAATGACCAGGTTTTGGAGAATAACTGCTAGGGAGAAAATGTTTGGCTTTAATAAGGTTACTGGACTATGGATCAACCAGGTGATAGAAATGACAAATTTTTCAGGTATATACATCGGTAGGGTTACCGGGAGACATGTATTTGGAAAAAAGATCATGGCAAGGTTACCAACATCGGTAGGGTTATCGATAGTCTGGTATTTGGAAAAAAGATCATGGCAAGGTTACCAACAACAGTAATGTTACTGGAAGGCTTCAATCAGGTGATTGGGCAAGAAATGATATCAAGGTGGTTGATATCGGTATGGTTACTGGGGTATCACAATCGGGTGATTAGTAAAGAAAGCCATAATAAGGTCATTAGCGTCGGTAGGGTTAACAGAAAACAAATGAGGTAATAAGGTTGACAACATCGATGGGGTGACCAAGAGATGATAAGAATAATCTGGCAAGGGTTACTGACAACGGTAGGGTTATCGTAAGGCTTCAATCAGATGATTGGAAAACATGGCAGACAATAAGGTTACTGGCATCAGTAGGATTACCAGGAAGCGAAAATCGGGTGATTGAAAAAGGTAAGCATTGTCAGGTTATGGACATTGGTAGGGTTACCGGGTAAAAACAAGAACGATTTGGTACACAATAAGGTTACTAACAACAATAGGGTTACCGGAAGGCTTCAATCAGGTGATTGGGAAAACAAACAAATAGTAGGGTTACTAACGTTGGCTTAGGTGTCAAACATGCGTTGGAAATATACGCCAGGCCGAGGGAAGACATATAACAGAAAGAGACTGAATGAAGGGTACTCTAACAAGGAATACTAGCCGAAGGTAAACTCCTAATAGAAGACCACTGATGAAAGGTGAACTTATAATGAAAAGAAGACTAGCCGAAGGTAGACTCTTGACAAATATATTGAATATATGTCAGGCCGAGGGAAGACATATAACAGAAAGAGATCGATCGAAGGGGACTCTAACAAGAAATACTAGCCGAAGGTAGACTCTTAAGAATGCTGACCAAAGGAGAACTTAAATGGGGATACAAAATAAACATTGAATATGAATGGAACACTGATAGAAGGCAAACTTACAAGTGAAAAAGTGACCATCCGAAGGGAACTCTAGACAAGGATTGCCAACCTAAGTCGGGCTTTTAAGAGGGTATTGATGTTTACAAAAACACAAGAACTACATTATTCCTCATGCCAAAAGTGGGGTTTAACTCTTTAATAGTGGCAATTATCTGAATTTCCACACACAAAGTATAAATACTCAAACAATTTAGAAGAAAGACAGGTTATACACCAACTCTGACTCACACTTTAATTGTAAAAGCAAACACATGTAAATATACCATAACAAGAGTTTTCCAAAAGCAAGACGCTTGGTAAATGAATCGATTTATGGATCGAATGATACGAGGTTAATAGTGCTTGCAGATAGCAAGAACAGAAAGATATGGTTTGAGGAAAACCTGTGGGGAATACCACTTGGGATAAAAAAAAAATTGGAGAGGTTCCACCAGCTTAACTGGGGAAGAAAGAAGGTGCTTAAGAAAGACTTTAATTTGGCTTGTGCTTTAATGCATGTTTGAGATTTTTTTAGCGTAATGCTCCATACCAACGGAAATGCTACGCGTTTTTGTGGATGCAATGTAATGTAATGATGATCATTATATGCAATATGCCGATGCGAAGATAGTTGTTGGGAACTCAAAGGACAGAGTCCCTCTGACTTCTGAAAAATTCCAATAATTTGAACTTAACTCTCTGATCTTTGATGAAAGAACACCAATAACCTGGACTTAAATCTCTAATGACATGAGGGTAACAATCTTGACTTCCTCACATGTAAATTTAGAAGTTGTTTAGCCTGCGCCTGGATTTGATCTGATCAACTCTTGAAGAGGAGGAAATGCCCCTGCATACTAAATTGCCTCTGTCTGTAGGGCCTTTGAAGAAATTCGCCTTGAGAGGACTTCTTTATATTTGTACCATTTGAGATAACTTTCCCCAGTGTTATTAACTTTGAAACTCTGCCCTTGACTAACTAAAGTTGGAGACAACTTCGACCATGCTTATGTGATTGCCCCTGATTACTTAACACTTTGAGAGATTCTTCGAATCTTGACATGACTTCCCCTGATTGACTAAACTCTTACTCCATGGAGTATTAACATGCTTCTCCACCCCTAAGGGTAATCAAACTTTGAGATACTTTTACCTATGCTCAACAGAGTCTTAATAATCTGTTTCATCATCTTATGCTCACAGAGAAGAGAGGCTCACTAAGTTTTGAAGACAACACCCCCTAAAGTGACTTGTTCACATCTTGAAAGTATGCTACTTCACAACCATATTTCTCAACATGATCCTCTTCATGCTCAAATAGATACTTGAAGAAATTTATCCCTTAGGACCAACTGAAAGTAATATACCCTTGATCACAGAGGCCTCTAGGCGATCATACTTTTGCAATCATCAAGATTTCCAAATAATTTGCTTTCGATTATTTCTCAAACTTGTCTTCTTTTACTCAACAAGGTCATAAGAAAGTGATCGTACCTAATCTTAAGGGATTTTCAAGGTCCACGAGCTTTGAGTCGAGTAGAGGTTAAATGTGAAGTGGGGGGTATGTGTAAGACACCCCGATGCCAAAGTATGGTTCAGAGCAAATGTAAGTAAGTAAGAGTATGGGTGAATGAATGAATAATACCTGACCCTATCAAGTGAGAGGGTATTCATAACCCCCAACACTGGTCTAAGGTCTTCAGTGATGGGCCATGATGAGGCCTAACAATAGAGACTACCAGGGTTTATGGGTGTATAAAGTCTAGCACATGGCCTCTTCCCTGGTCAACTTCCCCAAGAAAGCAGGAGAACTAGACCCGTTATTCTCGGAAGGCAGGATGATGATGACATGGACACATGAGTTATGTTCTCCTAATGGACACGTGGGGAAATGCCCAATGGTCCTCAGTTTGGGCTTCATGCT